AAATATTGTATAGAATAGGAACTACTGGGTTAGACATGAAAGTATCTTGAATCTCATATTGCTTTATAGGACATTCTTTGGACACAGGACTGAACTGACCTGGAAGCCTCCTCCCTGAAGACTAGCTCCCATAGTATCAGAGAATACTATACAAACTGCCAAGGGAGAAAACCAACTGGTGATTCCATCCAGCTGTAAAGTCTATGAACCACAACAATGACTATCCCAGCAAATAATCTCTATCGGTGCAGTAGTGACACTTTTATCTTGGGGGTAATCAATAGCTATCTAATTGGACTTAAGGGCTGCTAGTGGGAGGGAACTCATGGAATACTGTAAACATAGCCAAATGTACATGGCTGGAAAGATCAAGATCTTAGAGTAAAAAACAACTGTTTTGTCACCTCCATAGACCAATGTAATTTCTTACTGTATTCTAAATATGTATCCTCATATTTACAGACAAGTGTACCTCTGACCACTCCTCAAAGAAGCTTCTTTTAGCAACAGATGGAGATTATTTCAAAGTTCCACAATTGGTCAAAAGCAGAGAATAAGTGTCTATGAGGTGCCCAGCCCTAAGTGACACGTCCGCAATAGAACCTCTACACCCAAGGCTCAGGGAATACAGCAGAACAAGGGAAAGACAGAATACTAATGCATCTCCCAACTCACCAGCAAAGCTTTGTCATACAATAGATGGTGATTAATCCAGAAAGCCACAATTGTCAAAAGAGACTGCAGAGTGCTTATCCTTGAATAAGATGCCTATATCAAACCTCTGACACTCAAGTCTCAGAGACCATTGGGAAGAAGGGGCAGAAAGAATGTAAGAGCCAGAGTAGATGGAAACAAGAGTGTTCCATACAGCTAGGAACTTACTCGTGCACACTCACAGCAACGGTAACAGCATACACAAGACCCACGCAAGCTAAAGTCAGACAAAATCCCAGCACAGAAGTGAGGACATGGGGAAGAAGCCCAACCTTAACTGAGGAACTACGGACAGCTGATAACTACCGGGAGAGGGTGGAATTGGTTTTCTCTCTAAGAATGTGACACTAGATAGGTTAACTAGACTCCAGTAGATGGACATTTGGGGACACAAACTTGGCTTGATAGGCCTTAACATATATGACAGAGTACATGAAATCCAGCAGGGAAGCTGCAAGGGGGTTGCTAAATATGATCAAAATATATAAATTCACAAAATTCAATTTAAAAGATTAATGAAAATAAAATAAATATGTCTTTAACATCACTAAAGTTTAGACAGGGGTGACGATGAGGGAACAAGGGAGATAAGAGGGCGGGAGGGAACGCTAACCAAAATTAAGGACATATGAAAAAGCCATATGGAAATTTACTACATTGTACACCAATTAAAAATGATAAGATAAAAAAAGAGAGCATTAGAAGGGGGGATATCCTGCATATCTGGATAATAGTGCTTCTGAAAGCCAAGTGTTTAACTAAACTGAGATCCCAGTGCCAGGTTATGAGAGATTTTCTTATGAGTTGTTGGTCAAGGAGGCCCCAGAGGCCCCCAAAGCAATATAGGCCTTGCCACTGTTGTTGGTTGCCCACCAGAACTAGTTGATAACTATCAATGAAGATGTCATCTAGAGACATCAAGTTGGAACTGAGCTGGAAGCATCCTCCCTGCTGGCTAGCTTTCATAGTGCCAGAGGTGCTACAGAGGCTACTGGGGGAGAAAAGGCACCAGTAGTCTTACCCAGCTGTGAACCTGTGATCTATAATACCAACCTGCCAGGCAAGGTGTGTTCACTGGTGAAATAGTGGCACCACTCTTAGGGAGTAAACAACCACTCTGATTGGATTTGAATCCCATTCCACAGTAGGGAATTCGTATCTGGTACTATAAATCCAGCCAAAACTCCATGGCCAAGGAGGTGGGTGCTAGGCTCCCAGTGTGAGCTTAGTACTGTTGTTTAACCAATTGTCATAGTACTGAACTATCTTCTGAATATATTTATATTCACACACAAAGGCAACTCCCAGCCTTAGATAAGCCTCTCTTTGCAATTAACTGCTGTGAATGAAGACACACATTGCTGCTCAAGGTGCTAAGAAAACTTGACAATTGAGTACTCAGCACTAAATAGAGTATTTATACCACTCTCTCTAAGGCTCAGGGGTCATTCCAGAAAATACTGGAAAGAACGTAAGAGCCAGAAGATAGAAAAGTTGTCATCAGGCATGGCAGAGTCAATGTAGTCATGACCTCACAGCAGCTGTAGCTGCCTGCAACAGGCCTACACAAAAGGAGGCCTATCAAAAGTCAGTCATGGATCAGGGAGGGGTTCATGAGATCCTACCCTTCCCCGCTGGACTATTGGCTATTGATAGATTCTGGGAGAGGGGCGGTCATTGTCTTCAGTTGTGTACCCACTGAGGAGCCCACCAGGGTATTCCAAATCCCTTGTGCACACACACAATCCTGGTTAAACTCAGTCGGTCTTAAAAAAAAAAAACAAAAAAGACATGAATGTGGGAAGGGACTTGTGAGGGGAGGGGTCATAAAGGTAGGAGGGAGATTAGAGAGAATGGGGACTAGAGTAATCAGAATATACTTTATACATGTATATATGCATGTATGAAATCGTCAAAGAAATTCAATGAAAGTTTTTTTTTTTTTTAAATTTTGTTGCTGGGCGTGGTGGCGCACGCCTTTAATCCCAGCACTTGGGAGGCATAGGCAGGCGGATCTTTCTGAGTTCGAGGCCAGCCTCATCTACATAGTGAGTTCCAGGACAGCTGGGGCTACAAGGAGACCCTGTCTCAAAAAATAGACAAAAAAAAAAAAAACTTGTCTAGAGGGCTAAAGGTATCACTCAATGGTACAGTGTCTGCCTATCATGCACAAGACCATGAGTTCAATTCTAAGGAGAGAGAGAAAGGGGCGAGGGGGAGAGGAGAGAGAGAGAGAGAGAGAGAGAGAGAGAGAGAGAGAGAGAGAGAAATTGAGAATTAGCTTGTAAGAATTCTTACAAACCTTAAAACACAGTATGACAGTTGATAGCTAAGGAACAGAAAGGTTGACCAGGGATGCAGACACAGCAGAAGCAGGAAATCTATCTGATGGGGAAAGGGTGGGAATTGTCAAATAATCTGCTCAGACTCTCCAAAGAGAGGCCTGGTATTAGTGCTACCTAGTTTTACACAGATTTGTTTTCTGTATGTCTCCTTACATAAAAGTAAAAGAGAAACAATGTTGCCTGTGTATCTCTTGCAGCATCCCAAACGTATATGGCACATAACAGATGCTTCATGAGTAAAAGATGAATACATAAATTCCTAAGATTGACCTGGAGGCCAGACTGAGCAGAGAGAGCAGGAAGGAGAAACATATTATCTAAGTTCAGTACAAAATTGGATCCCTTGCTAGGACTCTTCATCAGCCATCACTTTCATCTTCCTCTCCCAGGGCCAGGTAGATGGAGATAACTACTCACTCTTGTGTTCCCTTTAAGATTCCAGATTTAAACCCGAGGGCAGAGGGTGGTTCTCCTGCCCCATCATGTGTCTTTCTATTAAGAATGAACCCAGTAAAAATTTGTAGGACTAAATTGAGAAAGAATAGCAGTCTGAAGCTTAGCGCTGTCTTAGTGATAAAACATATGCTTAACACACACCAGGCCCTGGGTTTGAGCCTCAGCAACAACAAGAAGAAACCAAGAAGAAAACCAAGCAAAGCTTCATGCTTTGAAAGGACAGAGGCTGAGCAGAAGTGCAGCCACAACACAGGTATGAAGTCTATCTGATGGGGAAATGGTGAGTGTTGTCAAATAATATTCTCAGAATCTCCAAAAAGAGGCATGGTATTAGTCCTACCTATCTATCTATAGAAGATAGATGATAGAGAGATGATAGAGAGATAGATGATAGAAGATAGATGATTGATGATAGATAGATAGATGATAGAGAGATAGATAGATAGATAGATGATAGATACATAGATAGATAGATAGATGATAGAG